ATTTTCACACTTAGCGACCATTTTCACACTTAGCGACCATTTTCACACTTAGCGACCGTTGCAGCATCCTCATGATTTTGATGTTTGGCAACAGTTACAATTTATATTTGTAAATTGTAGTTATGCTGAAATAAAAAAATATTACAATACTATTTTTGCGTTGTATGAAAATTTTTGTTGCTCCGTATAAAATTTTTAATCAAGCTCCTCCCCCCCCTGGTCAAAGGTGTCCCTCTTTACCAATCTGAAAATTTGGTCACCTTATTAAAGCAACAACCGGAATCCTACGAAGCTAATTTATGTAAATGAATCCCAGTGCGGTAATAAAAAATATGAGCCGAAAGAGAGTGCCAAAGAGGCGTTTCCAAAGGGCAATGTACCGTTAAAAAGATTTCAACGCAATAGCGATATCGACCGTACGAAACGCTTCCCTCTCTTCTTGAAAGATAAAAAAAAATTAAGGGCTGCTGTTCTTTCTTTCGCCACGAGACGGCGATGTTGTCTATAAACTCACCTGTGACAGGCAAACTGCTACGGAATTCTCCGAACCGATAAAGCTCTTCCGTTGCGTTTTGGCTTTTGCATTTTCTTGTTCTATTAGTAGAAATCGTGTGGATCTGTTGCATATTGTATTTCATGCTCTTTTTAAAAATCAAGCTTTTGGGGGCTTTGGAGGTCAAAGTTTTTTTGAGGCCAAATTGAAAAACCCATCAGGGGACTTCATGGGGGGGGGGGAGAGATTTCATGCTTAAACATTACATTTCTTGCTGGTTTTTTTTAAAATTCAAGCTTTTATTCACCTACAGGAGAAAAACTCCTCACCCCGCGGTCACAAAAAGGGGTGCTTTGGAGGCCTGATCTTTTTTGGAGCCCAAATTGAAAAACTCACGAGGGGACTCAGGGTGGAATTTCATCCTGGTATTTCTTGCCGTTTTTAAACATCAAACTTTTTGCACGTGGCACCTAAAGCGATAACCAAAATCCTATAATGCTAATTTATGCAAATGAATCCTCCATACACCTAACGATGAAGTAATAAAACATATTAAAACTATATAAACAAAACAGCGCCTGCGATATACTTTCGCAGTACGAAACGCTTCCCTCTTGTTGAAAGATAAAAATTTTAAGGGCTGCTGCACCTTCTTTCGCCACAAGATGGCGCTGTTGTCTGTAAACTCACCTGCAATAGGCAAACTGCTCAGAAATTCTCCAAACCAATAAAGCTCTTCCATTGCATTGTGCCTTTTGAACTTTCTTGTTCTTTTAGAAGAAATTGTGTGGATCTGTTGCATATTGTATTTCATTTTATTTTTAAAAATTCTTTTTTAAAGGCCAAATTATTTTTGAGCCCAAATTGAAGAACCCATGAGGGGACTTAATTCGGGGTGAAATTTCATGCTTAAAATGGTATTTCTTGCTGTTCATAAAAATCAAGCTTTTTGCACCCAGAGGAAAACTCCTGACCCTGCGGTTATAAAAATGGATGCTTTGGAGGCAAAACATTCAACCCTACAAAGAGTACCAAGGGTGCGTTTCCAAAATATTTAAAAGATATAGACATTTAAAAGATTTACAGAGACCGGTTCCTGCTAGATTGACTTTCGCTGTACGAAACGCTTCCCTGCTCTTCTTGAAAGATCAAAAATATAAGGGCTGCTGTTCCTTCTTTCGCCACGAGACGGCGATGTTGTCTGTAAACTCACCTGCGATAGGCAAACTGCTCTGCAATTCTCCAAACTGATAAACCTTTTCCGTTGCGTTTTGGCTTTTGAATTTTCTGGTTCTAGTAGCAAAAATTGTGCAGATCTGTAGCATATTGTATTTCTTCTTGTTTTTACAAATCAAGCTTTTTGCACCCAGAGGAGGAAAAGTCCTGACCCCGTACTCAGAAAAATGGGTCCTTTGGAGACCATTTTTTTTTTACCCCAAATTGAAAAACCCATGAGAGGACTTGATTCGGGGTGCAATTTCATGCTTAAAAATGGTATTTCTTGCTCTTTTTAAAAATTGAGTTTTTTTACCCACAAGAGGTGCAAAATTCTCATTGCCTTGCCTTGGGCCCTTGTGGGCCAGGAAGACCTGGTAGCCTGCTTCTGCCTGCCCTCCAACCCTCCCAGGGGCTGCCCGTTGGTCCGATTGTTCTTGTGTTGGCCCCGTGTGTCAACGCTCCAAGTAATGCACCGATGGAAAGCAGAATTCCGAGACAGATCGATCGGAAGGTTTATTGGATACATCGTGTTGGTGCAAGTAGTGAAAACCAACTCTGAAAGTTCCTGCCGTTTTCAGCTAATTTTAGAATTTGGAATTTAATAAAATTTGTATGCCGCCCACTCCCATGTAGAGTGAAGTGAAACTTCCCCCCTTTCTTCCCATTTTCCAATCGAGGTGCCGGGTGTCTGCTTGATTGCTCCGCTCCGCTTTTTTACTCCGCTTTTGACTATAAAGCCCCATCTATGTATTTCCTACCCCTCCCTGTCCGTTCTTCTGCCCTGTAGCAACCCTGAAGCCTGCAAGGTGGTCTCAAACCAAAATCACTTCAGGGTTGACGCCAAGCAAGTCCGGTGTAGCCTGCCCTCTGCCTGGCTTCCCAGCCTCCCCGGACCTGAAGCTCGTGCTTCTAACCGTCACAAGTAGAGGTGGGATTTAACCAGTTAAGACCCTAACCCGCCCCTAAGTGGATTGCCATTCCTCGGCTGATTTCCTTCCCAAGCTGCATTCTGAAAGGTAAGTATTCTCTAAAGTGTGCAATGAGCCGGTTGTTAAACCGGTAGGAGACCACACCTGCTCAGCTCTGTTTCCATGGGAGGCCCTCGCTCCAAGAAGGTTCTGCCCCAGTACAATAGAATCCTATCCCCATCAAAGGAGTCTCTGGCCAGCCAGTCTGGCCTATGCACTCTTTCCATGCTCAAGGGACGCAGGGTGCATTAGTCTCTTTTCTCTGTCCTGAGTGAGCAAAAGGGCCCCTGCGATTCTTTCCCTTGTCCAACTACATTGCTATCCTTTGGAACAAATTTCACATCTGCAACAAAAACATAGGGGGGGGGGGGAACGCTGCAAATCCATTCTACAGGCATTTCCAATTCGACAATACGGTTTTCTAGTCCAAAATGGAAGAAATCATTCATATGAATTATTTTCTCTTTTCTTGGCCATCCAATCCCGGATGTCATCTCCGCCGTCCGTTTCTCTCGGGCTTGATCAACGTTTGCGGATCAAAATATCCCAGCTATCCTTCCAACGTAGAGCCTGCAACTCGGATTTCGAGAGTGCTGGTTCTCCGTAGGTGAGTGGGCGGAAGGTGTGGTACGTCAGGTAGACGGAAGAAATCCAGGCCGCCACCAAAGCACTGTGCATGCTCTTGTAAAGCCTGGATCTGTCCAACAGAGAGACAAGCATAAAAAAGGAGGATAAGACTCTAGAAAGAATGCAGGGAAGAGCAACCGAGATTATTCAGGAGGCTAAAACGGCTCCTCTTTTATTCCCTATGGGAGGGGCCGTTCATTGTCCACCTGTGACCTTGCCCCAAACTCCGCCCCCGTTCTTTAGCTGTTCCCTTCTCCTGGCGGCTCTGCATGCGCGCATTGGGAACAGGCTCCGGTTGTTCTTCTGCCTCAGTGCTGTCTTTGAAGGCACCTGATCTCTACCAGATGGCCTGAGCCCCCTCTCTGCCTTTCATGCAGAGCCCTCATCAGAGCCTTCCCCAGGACTGGCCCGGGTTCATCCTTGACCTCCTCATTGTCTGAGTCTGCCACCGGCTACGCTAGAGGCCCACAACACCAGCTGTCCTACCTGCAAAGGAAGTCGCTGGTGTGCTGCAGAACAACGGGGATCAGAGGAATTTGGAAAGTGACAGCTGGCAGGTAATGGTAAAGAAAGAGGTTCTTCTCCATCAGGAAGAAAGGCAGGTAGTTCATGGCCCATCCGCCTACGCAGATCCCTCCAGCCAGGAGCCACTGCTGCCAAGTCTCTGCAGAGGAGCGGGACGGGGAAATGGGCAAGTCAGTTTCTCAGCCTGACAAAATGCCAGGACGGGGCAGAGAGTAGAACGAGAAATGAACTTAGGGGCATTTTACCACCTTTCAGGTAGGATGGGTGCAAGAAGCCTGGCACTCCTCAAGAGTCAGCGTGTCCATCAAAAGACACACTGATCTACCGCCGGGCATGGGATTCTACCGGTCCAGACAGGTTCAGGTGAACCGGTAGCTACGACTATCAGCTCAGCTGGGAGAAAACGGCTTTGTTCTGACTTTCAGCTGGGCGGACGCAAAGCGAACCGGTTGTTACACCGGTAGGATCACAGCCCTGGCTACAACCGGCCTGCGGACCACCCTGCCTCAGAACCCAAATCAATCACACAGCCGAATGGAGATGGCACCCACCCTCAACCAACTCATGCAATTGTACACATACACACACACACAGCAGTTCACCTCCCAATGGGCCTGACCTGAGATAATCTGAAATAAATTAGTAGAGGTTCTCCTGCGTCAGCAGGGCGCTGGACTAGAAGACCTCCCGCCTCCCTTCCGGGATTAAAGCCATTTTTTGGGTTGGAGAAACAGACCTCAAAGGCTTCAACCCTCTGCGACAGGTCTAGGCCAACCCAATTAAGGGGTTTAGGATAGAAGATCGAGATGGGGTTGGAGGTCCCAGACCTTCAGGGATATCCCGGATATTCCGCCGCCGCCGGAGCAGGTACCCGAGGAACAAAATCACATAGACGATGGTGGCTACGTTGGCCGATGTCCAGTTGACGAGGTTGCCCAGAAGGTGAATCTGAGCCTGGCCAAGAAAGATCGAGAAGATGCTTTGAGTTGTGTTTTGCGATCTTCTGACAGGCCAAATCCATGGAGAAGCCAGCTTCCCTTTAACAACTGTGTTACTAACTGAACAACGGCAGTGATTTGCTTAGCGGCAAGATAGGTCTCAAAATGAGGTAGAGCTCACTTCACAAATCGCCTTGCTTAGCAGCGGCAATTTTGGCCTCGGTTATGGTTGTTAATCGGGGACTTTCCTGTATGCCTAAAAAGTCAGAGGGATATGGACTGCTGAAATTCTCTCTGGGGCAAAGGGAGAGCTGGAGATTGCCCACATGTATTCCAGAAAACATAATTTCTAAAGCCCACATAAAAATCCAGTAAAATCACCCCTGAGCTGGAATGGAACCAGTAAGCAATGTTGGTCTCCAGGGTGATCCAATCTAAGGGAGATGAGCTGTATTTACAGTATGTTCTATGTCCTCGTTTTTCAGGGTAAGGATCTTCCACTAGAACAAAACACAAGAATTGGGAATTCCGGATATCAATGCAAGCTATGAGTGATGCAGCCCCTAATTCAAAATGTCGCTTGAAGTCTACAATCCCCAAGTTGTGAAACCGGCTGGCAGCATTTACACAACACGCTTAACGTTCTGGTGTGTTTAGGGGCTGTAGCTTGGGGGGGGGAGGGGGGGCGCTCTGCCTGGTTCAGCTTGCTGCCTCGCCGGCATCCTGCCATCAAGGGATGGAAGGGAGAGAAAGGATGGAAGCGCAATAAAGCTGTGTGTGTACATGATGG